TTTTCCTATTCTTAAGGAAAATGCTTATAGTTTTTGCCCATTGAGTCTGATGTTGCCTGTAGGTCTTTCATATATGGCCTTTATTATGTCAAGATATGATCCCTCTATTCCCACATTGCTGAGCATTTTTATCAGAAATGGGTGCTGGATTTTGTCAAATGTTTTTTCAGCATCTATTGATATGATCATGTAGTTTTTATTCTTCATTTTGTTTATGTGGTGTATCACATTTATTGATTTGCAAATATTGTACCAGCCTTGCATCCCTGGGATGAATCCTACTTGGTCATGATGAATAATTTTTTTGATGTGTTGCTAGATCCGATTTGCTAGTATTTTGTTCAAGATTTGGGCATTTATGTTCATCAGGGATATTGGCCTGTAGTTTTCTTTCTTTGTAGTGTCTTTTTCTGGTTTTTAAATTAGAATTTATTGATTTATTTATGCTGGCCTATAAAAAGAGTTTGGAAGTCTTCCTTCTTGAAATTTTTGAAATAGTTGAGGAGAATGAGTGTTAGATCTTCTCTGAATGTTTGGTAAAACTTCCCTGTGAAGCCATCTGGGCCTGGGCTTATGTTTGCTGGGAGAGTCTTGATTACCTCTTCAATTTCCTTCGTTGTTATTGGTCTGTTCAAGTTTTCTATCTCTTCCTGGTCCAGTTTTGGGAGACTATGTATTTCTAGAAATTTGTCCATTTCTCTTAGATTGTCAAATTCTTTGCCATATAATTGTTCATAGTATTTATTAACAATCCTTTGTATTTCTGTGGTGTCAGTTGTTACTTCTCCTCTTTGATGTCTGATTTTGTGTATTTGGGTTCTCTCTGTTTTTTGGTGAGTCTAGCTAAGGGTCCATTGATCTTGTTTATCTTTTTGAAAAAAGCAGCTCTTTGTTTCATTGATCCTTTGGATTGTTTTTTTGGCCTCTATGTTATTTATTTCTCCTCTGATCTTTACTATTTCCTTCCTTCTACTTGCTCTGGGGTTTTCTTTTTGTTTGCTTTCTAGTTCTTTAAGTTGTGAGGTTCGATAGTCTATTAGAATGTTTTCTTGTTTCTTGAGGTGGGCCTGTAGTGCTATGAACTTCCCTCTCAGAACTGCTTTCGCTGCATCCCATAGATTTTGTGCTGTTGTGTGTTCATTTTCATGGGTTTCCAGAAAGTTTTTAATTTCTTCCTTGATCTCCATGGTAACCCATTCATTGTTTAATACATGCTATTTAGCCTCCATGTGTTCAAATGCATTTGCATGTTCTTGTTGCAATTGATTTCTAGTTTCATGCCATTGTGATCTGAGAAGATGCTTGATATGATTTCAATCTTCTTGAACTTGTAGAGATTTAGTTTGTGTCCTATCATGTGGTCTATCTTTGAGAATGTCTTACGTGCACTTGAGAAGAATGAGAATTCTGTAGTTTTGTGGTGTAATTCTCTGCAGATATCTATTAAATACATTTGGTCTAGTGCTTCATTTAGAGTCTCTGGTTCCTTGCTAATTTTTTGTCTTGAGGATCTATCCAGTTATGTCAGTGGGGTGTTAAAGTCTCCTGCTATTATTGTATTGCTATCGATTTCTCCTTTGAAGTCCTCCAAGAGATTTTTAATATATTTTGTTACTCCTATTTTGGGTGCATATATGTTTATCAAGGTTATATCTTCATGTTGGATAGATCCTTTCAATATTATGCAGTGGCCTTCTTTGTTTCTAGTTATGGTCTTCATTTTGAAATGTATTTTATCAGATATGAGTATTGCTACCCCAGCTTTTTTTTTTTTTTTTTTGCTTTCAGTTTGCTTGGAAGATTTTTTTCCATCCCTTCACTTTCAACCTATGTGAATCTTTTGTTGTTAAGTGGGTCTCTTGTAAACAACATATAGATGAGTCATGCTTTCTTATCCAATCAGCTACTCTGTGTCTTTTTATGGACCATTCAATCCATTTACATTTAAGGTGATTATTGATATGTACTTATTTATTGCCAATTTTGTTTAGTGTGGTTCTATTTTTCTTCCAAATTTTTCTACTAATTACAGCAGTCATTTTAACATTTCTTGCAGTGCTGGTTGGGTGCTCATGTATTCTCTTAGCTTTCTTTTTTGTCTGGGAAGCTCTTAATTTGACCTTCTATTTTGAATGATAGCCTTGCTGGGTAGAGTAGTCTTGGATTCAGATCCTTGTTTTTTCATGACCTTGATTGCTTCATGCCATTCCCTTCTGGCCTGTAGTGTTTCTTGTGAGAAGTCAGCTTATAGCCTTATGGGGGTTAAAAATATGGAACGCTTCAGGCATTTGCATGTCATCCTTGCGCAGGGGCCATGTTAATCTTCTCTGTATCATTCCAATTTTAGTATTTGTGCTGTCGAAGCGAGCACAGTCTTAGCTTTTTTTCACTCAGCATAGTTCCCTGAATATTTATTGAAGTTGTTTGTTGTATGAATAGTTTATTCAGTTTTATTCTTGAGTAAATTCACTTTTTAGAAGGGTTTCCTCTTGACGGTTGAACTTTGGGCTTCTATGTCATGGGTACTTGCTTGGTTTTTATACTATCTTGGCCTCTAGCATCTCTCCAGTTGTTTTTCTCAGGCCCCTGGGCTGTTATTCTGAGCTAGGAATGATCCTACATCTGTATCTTTCTCTTTCCTTGGGAAATAAGGGCTTTTTTTTTTTTTGAAGGAGGTGCTGTTAAGTGCTTTCTAAATTTCTTGCTGGAGGCAGTATCTGTTTGAACTATAGGTGTCCAGTGATTCTATACCAGGCCCCCAGTAAATGTTTGAAATTATAAATCAATCAATCAATCAATCAATCAATCAATCAATCGGAAAAGTACTGATTCAGTCAAGACAATGGTCCATATTTCCCTGCTCTCTTCAGTCTAGGCTGGGCTCAGACAGTGTACATGTAGCTGTTGATTTATGGAACAATGTATGATTATGTACCACCAGACCATTACTACTCTCTGTAACATCAGAAAGAAAGGTTTTCTCTTGGACAAGTGCTAACAAACTCAAATCACCTGTTCTATCCTTCACATAAGTCTGAGGGATTTTGCTCCTTTTGTCTATTTGTCACAGAGTTTATTTTCTTTCAGGATTTCTTTCACCTCTGTACTCAATTTAGAGTACTAATGTGACCTCACTTTGTGCCTCATTTCCAATGAACCACTTAGAGTTCCTAATTTGTATTAAGTTTTCTTTGTTCAATCATCTCCTGCCCCCAGCTATGAGACACAGTGACAAAATTTATATATATTTATGGTATGCAAGTTGATGTTTAGATATGTGTGCATTGTGGAGTGACCACCAAAATCAAGCTCATTAACATACCCATCACCTTGCAAAGTTACTATTTCTTCCCTCCCTCCCTCTTTCTCCCTCCTTCCCTACTTCTCCCTCCCTCCCTCCCTTCTATCCTTCATTCCTGGTGACAGTGTTTAAAATCTACCCTCTTAGCAAATTTCAAGTATATGATATAGTATTTTAACTATAGTCACCATGCTATAATATTAATTTCTAATTTTCCCTGCAGGGCCTCAGGACATCCTCTGTCTACTTTCTGATGACACTCCAGTTATTGTCTCTGGGCCTGGTCTTTGAGATAATTGAATCTGTGCTGGACTGAGATCTCGTCCTATACAAAGATAAAGTCTTTTCAGGGGAAATTCTAGTCATCTTACACTGACTTAAGGTGAATTTTTTTCTCTTCTCTTAGAATTTAAGTAGGAGAGTGTATTTGAAAAACATGTCTTCTTCTCTTGTCCAATTTTCCTGTGCTGTTATTTAATAGTACATTTTTCTGGACAGTGCATTAGACTGGCTGGTGTTATTTTATTTTATTAAAAAATTTTTTTTCTTTATTGATTTTAGAGAGAGAGAAAGGGAGAGGGAGACAGAGACAGAAACATTGATGAGAGAGAACATTGATTGGCCACCTCCTGCATGCCCCCCACTGGGGATTTGGCCCACAACCCGGGCTTGTGCCCTGACCAGGAATCGAACCGGTGACCTCCTGGTGCATAGGTCAATGCTCAACCACTGAGCTACACTGGTCCGCCTACCTGGTGTTATTTTAATGTGAAACTTGCTATCTGGCTAGTGTGGCATCTCTAGATTCATGTGGGAGTTCTCATCACCTCCCTTCAATCTATCTACTAAAGCTTTTCTGTTAACAGTCTATTGTCCTGATTCGATGGGCTCTTTGCCTCCCTACAACTTATCACATTCCTACTGTTTAAAGTTATTTGTCTGGACTAAATGATTGGTATGCCTTTCATAAATGATTGACCATCGTTTAGGTTTTTAGATCTATCTACGTTATAGATTTTCTATTTCTAGTGGAGATAAAGATAGAAAATGTTTCTAGAAGTTTCTTTACTTTATACAAGAAAGAGATAAATTCTGAAAAAAAGAGGGTAACTAATGTAAAAAATAAACCATAACACCAAGTAAGAAATGTGTTTTTAAGTGCTGGAGAATGTAACTAACAGAGGAATATTAGGTAGAAAGCATACTGGCCTGAGTCACAAGGTGCTTTCAAATCAGTTTATTTTATATTTGGATTTATGCAATAATTAGGACAGAACATACATGGAGCCTCTTTGCAGACAATTTAGGGAACTTGTTAAAATAAATGGAAAATAATGAACTGCAGTTTTAAAATTAATCATACACAAAATTGGAGTTTTCTGCTCTTTCAGAACAAAGCTGAAATATTTGAAACAACTAAGTACTCTGTAAAGTCCATACATATTTCATAATATTTCAAATAATTTCAATAAAGCCCTTCTTCATGGGTAGTATGAGATATGTTTCCCAAACTACGCTCAAGGGAAAATTAGTCCCAAGAGATGTTTCTATATTTTCCACATACTAAGAACTAATCTATTGAAAGAGGTAGCATTGCTTTACGATGTGAACATGTTTCCAATTTCAGTAGTAGTATGCAGTGGACACTAACCTCTCCTGGATGCCTTGATGTGCTGTCCTGGAACAATGTGGGTCTGATCTAGAAGACCTTTGCCAGTATCCCTTTTAGAGCTTCTTTGACTTCCTTATTCCTCAAACTATAGATCAGGGGGTTCAACATGGGAATCACAATGCCATAACATATGGAAGCCACTTTCATATTCTCCGGGACATTATTAGAATGAGGCTGTAGGTACATGTATGACAGGGTTCCATAGAAAATGGTGACTGCTGTCATGTGGGAGGCACACGTGGAGAAAGCTTTTTTCCTTCCTGTGGTAGAAGATACCTTTAGGATGGCAACTGTGATAGAGATGTAGGAGTAAGCGACGACCAACACAGTGAACGTCAAGTTAAATCCCACCAAGATGGCAAGTAGCATAATGTTCACGTCAGTGTTGGAGCACGAAAGGGCGAGGATTGGTGGAACATCACAAAAGAAGTGATTGATGATATTGGACCTGCAGAAGGACAGTGTAAATGTAAAACCTGTGTGCACAGAAGCATTTATGGAGCCTATGACATATGAACCAGCTACCAGGTGGATGCAGACTCTCTGGGTCATGACAATGCGGTAGTGGAGTGGGTTACAGATGGCCACATAACGGTCCACTGCCATAGCAGCCAGGAGGTAAGCGTCACTCGTTGCGAACGTTGCATAAACCAATAATTGCATAACACAGCCCCTGAATGATATAGATTTATTTTCTACTATGAAGTTTTGCAACATCTTGGGAGTGATAGCAGAGGTAAAGCAGAGATCAACAAAAGCCAAGTGTTGTAGGAAGAAATACATGGGTGTTCGAAGTCTGGAATCTGTCTTGATGAGCAGAATCATTCCAATATTACCCACCACAGAGGTCACGTAGATGACTAGAAATACAACGAAGAGAAACTTGTGCTGGGTACCAAATCCTCGGAGAAAGAATTCAGTCACTTCAGTGCTATTTCCTTGTGTCATGGCTACCAAAAATCTAGGAAGGTCCAAGAGGAGGACAAAGAAAAGAAGAGAAATCTTTGTGACTTTTTGAAAGAAAAAAAGCCTCTTGCATTTCATGTCACGTTTTTGAATTGTATTTTCAGGCAAACATTCACAATAGGGTTTCTTGCTTTGCAAATAGTTCTTTCATTTTCTGGGTAAGAAACCACTGCAATAAAAGTGATATATGAGCCATGGATTCATTTTCTAAGTGAAGATTTCATAGAAGACTGACCTCTACTATGTGTGATTCTAAGAAACACAGATTAAAACACATTTTCACCATATGAAATGGGTATACACATTTGTAAAGCGATATTAAAATATGACCTTGAACCCTTTCAACAACCTCAGTCATTTATCATTTTAATCCTGGTTCAAGCTCTTGAAATTTGTCTATATGGAGATAAACCAAAATAAAAATAAAAAGAATTGGTTAATCTTGGTGAAATGTGTACCAGTGTTCCTTGTACTATAATTTTAATTATTATGAAGGTTTTATATTTAAAAATAAAAATCTAATAAAAAACATAGACCACAAAGCCATTTTCATACAAAAACAATAAAGAGCATTTACCATAAAGAGTTGTACACTAAAGATGCTTCCAAAGACTGTTATTCAGAAAAGAGGAATATGATCTCTGAAGAAAGACTCAGAAGCAAAAAGAAATGATGAGCTTAGGCATTGAGAAACATGGAAACATTGGAGCAAATAGAGACAGTATCAAATAATGATATTGTTCATGGGGAAGTGATAAACTAAAAATATCAGCTAATGCTAATGTGTTAGATTAGAGGATTCCTTTGGTTTATGGTCCTCTAAAATTTTTGTACTTTAGACTTTTACTTATACGTATATATTTCCAATACTTACAAGAGATGATAGTACTTTTTTAAGTTTAGGGGAATAAATAAAATTTTAAAGTCAATCTAGATGAACACAGGAGGGGATGAAAAGAATAATAGAAAATATCAAGACAAATAGAAATCACCTGAAAAGGCATAAACATCCAAATAAATTAGTAAGGAAATAAATATAAATGGACTAAAATTGACATTAAAATTCAAAGATTGTCAAATTGGATTTTTAAAATGTAAACCAAGCCATGTGATTGATTATAAAATATGCAAAAAATTGAGAAAAGCTTAAACAACTAACTATTAAATAAATAATAATATAGAAAAGAATAGAGTATGCATTAGTGAAAATAAATCATAAGAGCTATAATTCATAAACCAAAGCTTAGAAACATAATGTTGAGGTAAAGAGCTATTGACCAATTGATTACATTACATATAATACCAATATTTCAATGGTATTGTTGATATTTCATATCCATAGCTACTTATTGGTTATTCATGTTCACTGTATACTTTGTATGCCTTTTTGTAGTTGTTAACTATTTTTGTATGTATTTCATACCCTTAGATTGCTGTTAAGCACAGATTATAGACATACCATCTCTCAGCAAGTTAAAATGCTGCTAGTTTTATTAAATCAAAGCTACACCTCCTTTATAAGACATTAGAAAACAAAGGTATTATTATTTTAGGTGTTAAAAGGGGTTAAGTCCAAACAAAAAATTGAGCCATCTCAGTTGTTAAAAACAATGTTCAGAGCCCTGGACGGTTTGGCTCAGCAGTTAGAGTGTTGGCCTGCGGTCTGGAGAGACCCGGGTTCGGTTCCCACTAAGGGCACGTACCTCAGTTGCAGTTTGTCCCCGGCCCTGTTTGGGTCGTGTGGGTGGCAACCACTCGATGTGTCCATTTCATGTCGATGTTTGTTCCTCTCTCTCTCTCTCTCCCTCCCACTCTATCTGAACAAAATATCGAAAAATGTCCTCGGGTAAGGATATAAAAAAAACAATGTTCAGAGACTTAGGGTTTAAAATTGTGAATTAGTTATACCCACAGTCCTCAAGCTTAATTATTATGATGATTCTCTGTGACAAAAGTCGGAGTTAATAGTGTCCAAAGAAGATACAAACCAAATGCTGTTTGATTTGAGAGAAAAGATCTCATATTGTTAGAATAATTTTGTCAGAGAAACCTTCCTTGAAACAAGTAACTTTGAAATTGGTTCTAGAAATATGTTTAAGATTGTATAAGGTGGGATTGTATAAGGTACAGCCAGGGAAGGCAACTCCAAGCAGAGAAACTACTTTAAACAAGCTAAGGGCAAGAGGCAATAAGGACTCACATTATATACAATTAAGGAGTATTGCTCTAATTAGTTGCATTTTCTATATTAAATCAGGTTAGTTATCACATCCTTCACCTAACACACTTACCACATTGTTATGGTGAGAACATTTAAACTTGACTCTTACAGCAACTTTCAAGTACACAATACAGTCTTGTTAACTATCGTCCCCATGCTGTGCATTAGATCCATTTTGTAACAAGAAGTTTGTACCCTTTGACCAACATCTCATTTCCCCACCCTCCGGCCTCTGACCACCACCGTTCTACTCAGAGATACACTTGAGTGAAGTAAATCTTGAGTTCAGACCTGACTTCTCCCTTTCCCAAAGTGTTAGCTGGTAACTGAGATGAATAAGTTAGTTGCAAGACTTTTGCTGGCATGGGCAATCTTCCAGGCGTTGTTTCGGGCAAGTGCTCCCCACTTCAGCAGCTCCTGCTACTGTCTCCACTTTTGAGTTTCTGGTTTTCTGGAGTCTGAAAAGAACTGAAGATAAAATTCCTGGTGTATGTATTCGACTCCCACACTTCCATGTCCTACCCGACACTACAGTGAATGTCTGCCTAGAAAAACATACCGTAGCCCTGGCCAGTTTGGCTCAGCGGTTAGAGTGTTGGCCTGTTGTCCGGAGAGACCCGGGTTCGGTTCCCGCTAAGGGCACGTGCTTTGGTTGCAGTTTGTCCCCGGCCCTGGTTGGTCGTGAGGGTGGCAGCCACTCGATGTGTCCCTTCACGTCGATGTTTCTCTCTCTCTCTCCCTTCCTCTCTCTCCCTCCCGCTCTATCTGTACAAAAAATGGAAAAATATCCTTGGGTGAGGATAAAAAAAAAAAAAGAAAAACATACCGAGAATTACTTTTTAAAAAAGTCGTAGGGTGTTAATGGGGGAAAATAAGAAACATCTGTAACAAAAACAAATTAATAAATAAAACATTAAAAAAATAAAAAGAGTTGTATTTATGTTAGAATATCCCTTTCTATATTTGCTGCAAGATGCTATTATTGCTTGGGCTGCAAGTGGGGGATTTATTTTTGAGAGCTGTAAGATTAGGAACTATTCCCATGAGAATCTCAGACACTGGGGGCTTGGTTGAGTGTATAATATTGAGTGTCCCAGTTGAGACCATTAACTTTTTTTTTTTTTTTCAAGTTTCTGTCCTTTAGGGGCTTTTTGTCTTGTTTACTTCCATGAGCTTAGGGACCATCTGGCCAACCTGGGGCTGATCTTGGATTTTGTCAACCTGGTTTTGCACACTGGATCTTCCACTTACTCCAACCTGTTTCTCCATCTGTCAAATAGGGCTAATGAACCAAACGTGGCTGCCTCCGTGGTGCTGGAAGAGCCCATGCGTGTGCATGTTCTCATCCTTTGACTCTTGGTTCAGGGAAATGGGCATTGCTCCCTCCCCACCCTCTGTGACTTAGGTCTTTCCCCCTTTCTTCCCATAGCATATGTATGAGTGTCTATCTATCCTTTGTCCCTGTGTGCTAATTCCTAATTTAAAGCACTTGTTTGCTCTGGATGGTGAGCTCCTGAAGGCCAGCACACTTATTTGCATTGGTGTATGTCATGCCTACCAAGGTGTCTAAAACTAGTTTGTATCCAAATTTTCATGGAATAAATAAATGAATGTATGTGAATGAAAGGCATGATCTCTGATAGAGAAATCGACTCCTTCTATTTTATAGAGATGACTACTCAGAGCACAGAACTAACACCAGTAATGGTGATAATGCTAATTAAGGATTTGCCAAGGCATTGGATAGGTTTTACATGTATTGTCTTGTTTAATCCACACACAACTCTATGGCATTTAAGTACTGCTGTTATCTGCATTTTATAGAGAAAGGAGCTGAGGCTCAGAAACTCTAAATGAGTCAGCCATGACTACATGGATAGCATAAGATGAACATGGAATTAAAATAAGTCCCTTTGCATCCAGAATTTAAGATCTTGGTTGTCAGGCTGAGCCAGACCCAAAGTTTAAGAAGCAAAATCCTCTGTCTTCTTGAGGAAACACCTAAAGTCAGTGATTCTATGTTGAATGTTCTAGGTTAAGGCAATCCGTATTATGAGCACCTACTATATGCTGGGCTCTGTTCTAGGCACTTGGGACACATAAGAAGCAGGAGTATATGGATATGACTCGTGGAATTTGCATCCTAGTGTGTGTGGAGAACAGTTTGTCAACAAAGAAACTCACTAATAAGCAAGACAATTTCTACTATAAGGAAAATAAAATACTGTGAAGTGAAGGTGCCTGAGAGGAGACCATCTCAGTCGGGAGAAGCTTCCTTATTGAGATGGTGCAGTGGAGAAAGCAAAACCACCTGAGGGGAAAGACGGCAGCTGGAACAAACTTGGCTTGTGTGTTCCAAGGATGAGAAAGCAGCCTGCAGGAACTGGAGGGGAACATGTGACACATTAGGTCAGAGACCCAGCACAGATCTTACATAGACCTTGAGGTATCATAGGGAGTCATTGTAGGGCAAGTGGGGGAAGTGGCATTAGATCATTGCCCTGGACAGATCACTCTTACTGCCGATTGGAGAACAGATTATAAGAGCAAGAAAGGAAACTGAAAGCCCATATATGAGAGTCTGTGGTTTGTTTTTTGATTGAGAGAGAATAGTGGCTTGAATAGGGTCGTATCAAGGAAATGGAGACAGAGTTACTTTAATTGTACTATTTCGAGAAGGCAGCTTTTAAAGGAATTGCTTCTGGTTTGAATCCAGGAAGTGAAAGAAAGAGCAGCGAAGTCTGACTCCTGGATTTCTCTT